ATTTGGTTAAAAACCCATAATATATAAAAAAAACCAAAAATAAAAAAATGATAAATTTAAAGACAATTTTGCATGTTGTGGCAAATCATAACGTTTAGGAGTTTTTTTTCCAATATTTTATTTGTTTTCAGCACACCAAAATACATGGAAATTAGATGAAAATAATCAAACAGCTTTTTAGTCGCAGACCTGTGTTATGCTTCCTTTCTTTAATTCCACTTTCCCCAGCATTTTAAACTCATCAGATACGGGCAGACGTCTCAACTTTTCCCATCACAGATTTCCTGGGAAAGTCTTTGCGTAAAGTGTTCATGATATAATAATTTGCACATTTTGGCCCATATTGAGACCTCTCAATTAATTTATTCTATAAATCATTTATTCGTTTTCTTGGTTCTCTATGGTGTCCTCAGGAAAATACAACACAAATATTCCAAACATCAATTATTTTTCTATTCTGCTTTTTCAAAGTCAACTTTTATTTCCATAGGACACCAGAAGGAAAGCCATTATCACTTGGAAGCTGTTGTATCTTCCAATGGTCACTAAACGAACTGTTGTAAGTCGAGGACTACCTATAAATGTCTAAAGTGGTGGTCTAACTTTGTCTTCTAGTGTAGAAGAAATTAGGAATATTCTTTCACACATTGTTTCTTAACCCCAGCAACTTTTAAGATGCGTGGACTTCAACTCCCAGGATTCCCCAGGAAGCCATCATGAGAAATATGGCAGCTGGTTTATATTTATTCTGACTGCCTGGGGAATTCTGGGAGTAAAAATCCACCCATCTTAAAGTTGCTCAGGTTGAAAAACGCTGCTCTAAGATATCTTCGGTGACAAATTTCAGCATACTCCTTCCATCTTTGGATAAAATACTTAGAACTTAGAATAACATTTGCAAGGGACCTTGGAAGTCTTCTAGTCCATGGGTCTCCAACCCTGGAAATTTTAAGACTTGTGGACTTCAACTCCCAAAATTCCTCAGCCAGCTTTGCTGGGGAATTCTTGGAGTTAAAGTCCACAAGTCTTAAAGTTGCCAAGGTTGGAGATCCCTGTTCTAGTCCAACCCCCTGCTTAGGCAGGAAACCCTACACTGCTTCAGACAAATAGTTGTCCAATCTCTTCTTAAAAACTTCTAGTATTGAAACATTTACAACTTCTGGAGATAAGTTGTTCCACTGATTGTTTAAGGAAATTTATCCTCAGTTATAGGTTGCTTCTCTTCTTGATTAATTTCCACCCATCGCTTCTTGTCTTGCCCTCAGGTGCTTTGGAGAATAGTTTGACCCCTCTCTTCTTTGTGGCAGCCCCTGAGATATTGGAACACTACTATCATGTCACCCCCACTCCGTCTTTTGTCAGCTGTGACCAGGGGGGCATTTGCCCAGGTTCGCCTGGTGCACCAGTTGCGCCCCTACCTGAGCCGGGAGGCTCTCACAACAGTCACTCNAGATTATAGAATGTGTGTATACATACACATACTACAAAAAAAAGACCTGTATTACATCTGTACACAAGGACCAGAAGACATGATAGATGGATTATATACAGTATATATGACATTGGTGGTGATAAGATATAATGGTGCCAAGTGACAGCAACATCAGGAAGGTATATGAGAAGATGGAAAAGTACCAGGGCTGCTGGAAGAAATGGTCCTGAAGGAGGAAATGGAGAGGATGTGGAAAGTCAAGGCCCAAATGATCCAAGTAACAGTAGGAGCACTTGGGGCTGTGAGTGAGTGTCTGCAACAGATTCCAGGAACAACACTGGAGCTCTCTATTAAGAAGAGTTTAGTTAAGGAAGAGCTAAGATATGGCACAGAACCCTCAAATTCCCACCCCACCCCCTGGAAGAGGACCCAGGATTGCAGAAGACACAGGCCCATCTGGGTGAGAAGGTATTTTTTTTAAATATAAAACTCAAGGTAACAAACATAGCTAATACTCCTTGCTACTCTTATTTTCCACACAGCAACAACCTGCTCAGGTGAGTTGAGAAAGAATAATTGGCCCAAAGTCACCAAGAGGTCTAGAACTTACAGAGTTCTAAGGCAGCGTCTTTACCACACATCAGACTGGTTCCCAACCAAAAACCATATTAAATTCCCTTTTCTTTCTTCAAAGAGCATGTACCACTACTTCCTTAATGTTATTTGATAATGATTTGTAAACTGATCAATGGATTTTGAAGCTGTTTTGCATTGATCCTCAGATAATATAAACTCTTCTGTTGGAATAAGAATATTCTGTGACCACGTGTTGGAAACAGGTGGGATTATCTAATCAGGTACAAATATATAACATTTCCACCTAGAAGAATGAAAGTTTAGTTGGAAATACATATGTAATGTCCAATTTCTAAAGGGTAGTTATGTTAATATTTCGCAGGGAAAAAATCTTGGGGCACTTTAAATGCTAATTTGTAAGAACATATTTTGTGGCTGCATAATAATCAGCCAGGCACATTGGCTGTACTTATCTAGCATGCTAACTTTAAAGTGTGTTTAGTAAACATATGATTTCATGGTATACTTTCTCCCTCTATATTCACAACTCTTAAATGAAGCTTGCAGGATCACAATATACTTTATCACAAATCTCAGGTCAAAAAGCTACATGCTATGGGGAAGTTATGGGTGTCTCCATATTTGATAGCTAAGCTTTTATGGAGTTGCAAATCATCTAAGATCCAGTTTAAGTGAAGATTATCAATTCTACATGGAAAAAGAAGTCTTTAGAGGCACATGTAAATGTTTGTCAATCAATTTAGCATAATCTTATTTGATCTGACAAATCAATTCAGCTTTAAGATTTGCTTTGAAGAGAAAATTTTTGAACTGGGCTAGTAGCTTTACCACGTGCTATGTAAATGCAGAAAGTGGATTGGATCTTTTAATATCTTTTAGAATGGTAGTTTGTACAATGAAATTGGTGGGATTTAAGTAAGCAACATCTTCAACCAGGGTTTAGGATTAGGTGCAAACAAGGTCACTATCTTAGTTTGTTGCAGAAAAAAATCAATGCTATTTTACTAATTGCAGTAGAGGGACAAAATAGTTTTCTCCCTGCAAAATTCAGTGAGTTTTACCACTAGCCAAGAAACACTTTTTGTTCAAAATAACAGTGACCACCTGATTTTTCTGCTCAAATCCTTTTGCTGGTGGGATGAAGATACTAGCATTTAGCAATAGCGCTTAGACTT